TACTACACACACACACACACACACACACACACACTTGCAAATAACATAAATGAATATACACAGTGTGTCTAAATCATTTCAGCCAATTATACTGTCCTTTTCAAATCCTCCCTCTCTTCCATTCTGTCTCAGATTCATTATGTCTTCTGTAATTATTATTGCAAAACAGATAGATAGATAGATAGATAGATAGATAGATAGATAGATAGATAGATAGATAGACAGACAGACAGACAGACAGACAGACAGACAGACAGACATAATTTACTGAAATCTATTTAGTATTTCTCACATGTACTATTTGGCACTGGATGACTTATTCAGGGCTCACCGCTGGAGAAATCCAATTAGTCCTCTCTCAGCAGCCATTATTGCTTATAGCTCTTCATCTAGAGATGGATTCTTGTGAAAGTTTTCCTATTCGCATCGGCCTGTCAACTGGTGTGAGCATTATGCAGTTTTGTTAAGACATTGTTAACTACATTGCTAAGATTTCATGAGTTCTGCTTTCCTGTCACATCCAGAAGACACCATGTTAACATCAGGCATCCTGCTTCTCTGGATCTTACAGTTTTTCTGCCTCCTTTTCCATTATTTTCCTTGAGCATTTGGTTTAGTTGTGTTGTACATGTGTCAGTGGTGGCCAGGTAACTCAGGGTCATTTAAGCCCTGCATTTTAAGCAGTTGTATAACTTTGTAATAAGTTTCTATTTGTCATAAAGGCATATCTTTAATGTCAGGTAAGAACTATCTTTATTTTTGAATATAAGGTTATGTATTTATAATGCTGTTAGATCCTATTTGATTTAAGAATATGGTAGTGATAGTTTTTCCTCTAAAGTCTAGGATTATCCAGCCATAAGTTTACAATAACAGATGTGAACTTCCTCCTACCAAGTAACCTTACGTCCAATTACATAGTTATTGGTTACTTCCAAAGAATTAAGTACCCCAACTGCACCACTGGGGATATGTTGCTGTGCTGGTCACTGTTGTTATGTTCCACAAATTATTAATTACTTTTCTCCCTTGGCAGCTTACATTACATCTTCTGGTATTATGAGATCTAGTGCTCAGGAAAGAGACCTACATGTCTGTACCAGTTCAATCTCTCCAAGTTCTATGTCCTAAGATTTTGGTTACTTCAATTATATGGTCCTATCTTCAGGTTCTAGAAGGAAACTAAGGGCAATAGCAATGGCCTACATTGGTTTGGGAATCTACTAAATTTCCTTCTATTCCACTGCCCGACAAGTAGAAGGGTGGTTGCTTTTGCCTAGGACTGGGATATTTGTTCAATATTCTATGACTTCTAGAAGAAATATTATCAATATTTGTACCACAACTTTATCTAAACTATATATACAGATATTTTTAAAAGGGATGTGTGTCTGTCTGTGTGTGTGGTATATTTTTAAGTAAACTTATAAAATTATAATACCTATTACTTTTATGCTAAATTTCTGTTTATTTGGCATGCATCCTAAAGTTGTTAAACTTGATTTAATGTGGCTTTAATAAAGGCTGGGAACTATTAACTTTCAGTTTCCTTCCTACTAACTTGCTTATATTTTAAATCAACTCAGTAAGACTGCTTTATAATAGTATTTTTTGGGTCTATGGTTTTCTGCAGTGTGACATGAAATCAATACCAAAAGGAAGATAAAGAAAGCTTCTTCATCACCATAAGCCCCCATTTATCCCCAGACAATGATGTATTTTGTTTTCAGTCAGATTTCTACTGTTCAATATTTAGACCAATGTTATTTTCATTGGCATTTTACACAAAGCATAGTTCTTCAGCAATGAACTTGTGTTTTTGTCCTGATCAATATTCCAGTTTTGCTGAATTTTTTCCCAACCTATTTTCCTTTTTATTTTAGAATATATAATTATAAAGTAATACGACATTCTATAAAAAGAGTAGATTATATTATAAATGCACAATGTGATGTTTGGTATATATATATATATATATATATATATATATATATATATATGTGTGTGTGTGTGTGTGTGTGTGTGTGTGTGTGTGTGTGTTTGTGTGTGTGTGTGTGTGTGTAATTCTTCATTTATCATATTCATAGTCTTATTCCCAGAATTTGTTCATCATATAACTGGTCAATGTTTTCTCATTTTTCCTACCAACAGACCATAGTAAGCCTCAATGGACTCCCACTACTAGTTTTCTAGCTACTAAATCTTCATCATTATAAATACCCCTTAGTTGTAAGACAGGAGCCAACATAAAAATGAGACTAACCCTATTGTCAGCAATAGCTTCTAGAAGGTGAAATTCCAGGTGTGCTCTGTCACCACCCCTATTTATTTTATCAGTGTTGCTGCTCTACCAACATAACAGGACTACTGCTTCCCATGAGCTTCTGCCACAGTGAAGAGTGACTAGCATAGAAGCACAGGAAATAGTAACTAAAAATGATGAATTATAAATCCAAACCTAATTTTCTGGATTTATATGGTCCCATATACTGTTCTATGTACTAGCCTTTTTTACAACATCCATTTAGAGAAGAGGCAGCTTATGATTGCCCAAAGATAACATCTGAGTGACAATTTTTTTAGAGGATGAGGCAGCAGGTGATTCGCTCCACAGTTAGTTCCCCACTGTACTTTCTCTGCAGTGAGTCAGAACACTAACATCTCACTTATCTTCCATAAAACAAAGTGAATAATTTATAGAGGAAAATAATATTCAAATGGTTTTCCCAGAGAAGAAATATGAAGATACAAGTTTGTTCAGATTTTTAGCCGTTATTTGTTCTTCACCATGGCTGGCTGTCAAACATAACTGCTTTTCACCATGGCTGGCTCCAAACAGAATTGGCCTTGTCATGTCATCTCTACATTTCAATATTTCAAAAGTATTCCAATAAATAAAAACTAGAGATGAGAATATGAATTGGAAAGTTTTAATCCCAAACCTCTATGATTCCACCATTTCCTCATTTAAGACACCCATTTGTTGATTTTGATGATTTTTACATAATATGTCAACCTAATCTAACCCATTGTCCATACTTATGGATCAAGCAAATGAGTGATATAATCGTTCTACTATAGATGTTTCTACAAAACATTTTATAAAATTAAAACTAAATAAGAATGCTATTATAAAATTCAACAAAATGAAGTATAATTCTGTAAGACATGATCAAATCATCTTATCTTCCGTTAATTCAGAATGATCTTTCAAATTTAAACATTTATTTTATGTGATACATAACAATATAAACATTGTACACATAAACTGAATTAAACTTATCTCTGTAAAATCCATCATTTCTTCATAGTAAAAACATTCAAAATTATAATTTTTTACAAATTATATATACTTTTAACTAAAGGCTTCTATGAGGGTGTCACACTGCACGTATCTGTTATATATTATTATTTTCATTATCACTTGTTGTTTTTTTTGTTTTTGTTTTTCAAGACAGAGCTTCATTGTGTAACCTGGGCTATCTTGGCATTAGCTCTATATACCAGGATGACCTTAAATCCACAGAGGTCAGCTTGCCTCTGTGTTCCAAGTGCTGAGGTTCTTTTAATGTGCAGTTATCATCTCTGCCTCTCCATCATACTGACCTCCTGCAGAAGAAGCACAACTATACGTCGCTTAGAATTCTCGGTGCCTTCTACTTGGCTGCCTCCTGGCAGTCTCACCTTGTCACTGATTTTCTTCTCATCCCAATACTTGTTATTAAATCCATTATTTAAACTAACTTCAAGAAGCTGCAAATTAGTAACATTTATTGATATGTTCTCTCTTTACAAAAAAAGTTAAAGTATGATTGAAATTATGAGATCTACTTTACCACACAGATTTTATAAGTATGAACAGAAATTCCTCTCATTATGTCCTAGTAATAAGCATGTGTGAGATAAGGTGAAAGGGAGGAGAGAGGATATGAACATTCAGGGCTGGCACTGTACCTCACTCAGCCGTGGAACAAGAGGAAGAGACTAACCAAGTTATATGTATGTCGATGCTAAGGATTGATTCAAGGGTTTAGTTACACTATCTAATCCATCTCTGTATCATTCACTCATAGTAATTTACCCTATAATCATACAATAGTAAAAATGAATGCTTTCTTATTGCTTTTAGTTTTGCTTGTTGTGCTACTGAATATTCAATAACTGTCTTATTGAGAGACATTGAAGTGTTTCCAACATTTTATTACTATAGACATGTAAATGAGTATTTAATATGTATATATTATTTTATAGTTTGGCAGTTTCACAATTTTGGATATTAGAGGTTCAATAATACTATATTATACTATATGGGAAATATGTTATGCTATATTATATGTCTAACTACAGCAACACACATGTTTGCTAGATATTGAGTAATTCTCCTTTAAAAGGCTCCTTTCAGTAGGAATACGTTTTTACAGTGTTCTTCAATCTCTACCTGCTAGGACAACTACACATTAAAGACAAACTTTAGAAGTTATCTTCACCTGGATGCTCCAATATGTGGGAATTCGAGGGTGAGGAGGTGGGAGTGGGTGGGTGGGTGAGTGGGGGCAGATCTTTATAGAAGCAAGAGGAGGGGGGGATGGGATGGGGGTTTCTGGGTGGGGAGAAATGGGGAAAGGGGATAACATCTGAAATGTAAATAAAATATCCAATAAAAATAAGAATTTATCTCCACAAAAATAATAAAAATTTACACTTTCAAAGAGATAGCTGTCAAACCAACTGCAGATAGAATGTTCTCAAATATTTAATCCCAAGTTGATATACAGTGGCAAACTAACACAGGGTACAAGAAAATTTAAGCATCATTATGATCTGATTTTTAAATTTACAATATATTAAGTGGGTATAGAAATTTAACATGAAGCAAGCAACTCAAATTATGGCTGAGAATTAATACAGAGAATCAACTTTGGATTATATAGATAAAAGCACTTGAAGCTAATTAATTGGCTTTATGATCATGTTGCTCTGAGCATTTGTTCAACCCTTACCTGGGGGTTGGAGATTCTGTTCCTCTAAAAATTCTAAGTCAAGCATCAGATCATCTTCATCCAATTCACAGGATCCCAAGTGATTAAGGACATCCTAAAAGGAAAGCAAAGCTGATCAATGGAAGAAAGCACAAAGGAGTTAGGAAACAGGCAGGTGCAGGAGCTGTGAAGCAAGACACTGATTAAAGAAATCAGAGACAGACTCCTGTGACTCATAATTCTACCAGTCCATTGAGATACTTTAAGAATTTTCTAAACTTTTAAACTTTTCCTAGTATTTGCTTTCCTTAGTTATTCCAGCATTTACAACTAATAATATATGGTTTTTAATTGAACAGATATACATGTGAACCAAAGATAGGGAAAAATAAGAAACAATTCTCAGCATCAGAATAAGTGTTTGTTTTCACACAAAACAAAACAAAACAAAACAACACAAAACACCTATTTTAATTGCCATAAAATGATCAATGCTTACATATTTTAAAGGTATGTAAAATTTCAAATATATAGATATCTGCAAATTAATCCTTAGTTTTGTTTTTTCTACTATTTCTAGTTCTTGGTCACATTATCAGTGCATTAAGTAGGTTCCGTCTCATGAAGAAGACCTCAAATACAACTTTTAATAGTGGTATGTTAGTCCCATAAGATTCGTGTCACTGACTACATCAGTATATCTTGTTGGCAGGTTGCTATTATATGTCAAAGTGTTTGCAATTAGACAAAATTGATGATTCTAAGTTATATTACTGAGTGATAAAATGTAAACACCTTGGTATTAGTACAAAAACAGACACATTGACCAGTGTAATCAAACTGAAGACCACACATAATTCTTCATGCTTATAGATAACCAATTTTTATATAGAAGCCAAAAATACACACTCAAGAAAGGACAGCATTTTCAACATATGGTGCTTGCCAAGCTATCTGAGTGTTTAACAACACAAATAGATCCATATTCATGCCCAGCAGAGGCTATTACCATCCAAGCAAAGTGGTAGCCTACATAATGGGAAGAATAATTACCAATTATATATTTGAGGTATTTTTTTATAGGAATCTAGTCAAGTAAATAGCCAAAAATATTTTGAAAAGAGTGAAAGAAATTTATTTCTAGCATATGACCAACTTTTAAACAATTCAAGAAAGAACACTTTCTGTGTTTTGAGCTTCTAGGACATAGTTTGTACTGCATCCTTCCTTCCCTTCTGGTGGGAACCCTCCACTAAGATACCATGAGCACAGACTATGGCATGAGTCAACACAATGTTCTTTGTAGATGATTCAAAATCGCTCTCTCAACTACCCCAAATACCAGAGCTTTTCTCAGAGATGAAAAAAGGGGAGATGAGGGTAGGCCTGGTCATCGATATTGTAAGAAGCAAAATACAATCCATGCAGGGGCTATGGATAGGGTTTTATACAGGGTCTCTACATATACAAGACCACCCAAGAGTACTTCTGACATAACACCTATTGAGGAATAAGCTTCCTGATTCCAGTTCCCTGCAGTTCTCAAGGCTCAAAAACACTGATAATTTGGAATCTTTTTTAAATTATTTTAATTGTTTTATTTACATTCCAAATGTTTCCCCTCTTCCCAGTTGCCTCTCCAAAAGTTCTATACCCCATGCCCCATCTTCTTTGTCTCTGAGAAGGTGCTCACCCACTACCCCTCCCACTCACCCACTCTCATCTACCTCACCCACCCATTCCCCTTTCCTAGGGCTTCAAGTCTCTACAAGATTAAGGATCCTTTCCAACTGAGCACAGACAAGGCAGTCCTCTGCTACATATGTGACAAGGGTCAGAACATGTATGCTCTTTGGTTGGTGGCTTAATCTCTGGGAGCTTCTAGGGGTCCTGGTTAGTTGATACTGTTGGTCTTCTTATAAGGGTGCATTTCTCTTTAGCCCCCCCAATCCTTCCCTTAATACTTTTATAGGAGTTTCTGACCTCAGTCCAATGGTTGACTGTCAGTATCTGCATCTGTCTCAGTCAGCTGCTGGTAAAACCTCTCAGAGGACAGCCATGATAGGCTCTTGTCTGCAAGCAAAACATGGCATCAGTGATAGTGTCAGGGTTTGGTGCCTGCCCACGAGATGAATCCCAAGTTGGGCCAGACACTGGATGGCCTTTCCTTCAATCTATGCTCAATTTTTGTTCATGTGTTTCTTTTAGAGAGAAACATTCTGGGTCAAAATTTTGAAGGTAGGTTATTAGCCTCATCCCTCTACTGATGGTCCTGTCTATCTGCTGGAGGTGGTCTTTTCAGGTTTCATCTCTCCACTGTTGGGCATTCTGGCTAAGGTCATTCCCATTGAGTCCTGGGAGGCTCTCACATCCCAGTTTTCTGGAACTTTCTAGATGTTTCCCCTGCTCCCCACTCCCAACAACTCATTTTTCCATTCATTCTCGTGGAACTCTCGGGTTCTCTCCTATCTCTCCCCATACCTGATCCTGCTGAGTGGGTGTAAAAAAGAGACTAATTTGTTTTCAATAGGATACATTCGCTACCACAGTTAAGTTCTGCACTGTTCTATACATACGGGGAAGAAGGGTCTCAGCCATTCTGTATAGGAACATGATAGTCACACACAGGGTCACAGGAAAGAAATCCAGAAGTCAATTAATGTTAATAATTATATTTCAAGCATGGGAGGGCACAATGGTGTGCTTCAGACTTCTGATAAAACAAAAGCAAAAACAGAATACACCATGACAGCAAAGTGATGATTAAGCAGCAACAGCCCCTCATCTCCTAGTAGGTGTGAATGCTAAATAACAAGGAAATAATGAGAAACCATGAATATTTAATAATGTAGACACAGAGCTCTATACATCTTAATAACAGGAACATTATTGTGGAATGCTAGGAACTGAAACATAAAAAGAAGCATTTTATGTGAGGGCACTGCAGTATTGCACAAAATTAAAAGGCAGAATTGCACATCTTTAAAAAGGCATGAGAGCACCTGATAAGTAGAGTTTGATTATAAAAGGCAAGTCTTAAGTAATGGTCACAATTTTGGGTTTATATTTTTTTCTGAATATACAACAAATACAAATGACTAAACAAAAACTCATCAAAAACTAACACCTGCAGATTAAAGACATGCTTTCTTTCAGTTATTAATAAAGAATGGTTATTAAGTACTGAAAAGATGCTAAACACAGACATAGATATTTCTCAAATACCAGGAAAACTAAAACTTTGGCATCTAGAAAGTGCCACAGCAAGGAAAACAATAAGAAGAAATATATTAGGCTTGTAAACCTATGAAACCAGGTTCACGGGAAAAATCTTGAGTTGTGTTAGATGTTTAGTTAATGCAGTATTGTTTGAAACTGTCAGAGAATGTTGGTATCCTGCACAGAAATTTTTCACTTACATAAACTCCCATATTTATCAATTGTTGGCCATAATGCCTGTGCTATCAAAGTCCTGTTTAGCAAATCCTTTCCTGTGCCAATAAATTCAGGCATATTCTGTATTTCCCCTCAAACAAACTTGGGTTATCAGTTCTTTTGTTAAAGTGCTTATCTATTTGGAGTTGAGTTTTGTATAGCGTGAGAGATAAGGATGTAGTTTACTTCTCTTATGTATATCCATCAAGTTTGACAAGTACCATTTGTTGAAGATATTGTCTTTTCTCACATGTGTATTGTTAGTTTCTTTGTCAAATCCTGTGTGGTTGTAGGAATGTGAGTTTCTATATAGGATCTCAAGTCTATTCTGCTGATCAATGTGTCTGTTTTGAGGCCAGTACCATACTATTTTTATTATTTGTCTCTGTAGTACAAGTTGAAATTTGTGATTATAATACCCCAAGCAGTGATTTGATCATTCAGAATTAGTTTAGCCAATCTAGGTCTTCTGCCTTTCCAAATAATTTTGAAAGTTATTTTTAGTTTGTGTGAAGAATTATGTTTAATTTTGATGGGGCTCATTTATTTTATAGATGGCTTCTTCTTATTAGCCACTTTCACAATATTATCCCTGCCAATCAATTCATGAGCACGGAAGGTCATTACATCTTCTGGTGTCTTCTATAAATTCTTTCATTTCACTGTACAACACTCCCATCTCTGATTTATTCTAAGATATTTGTGGACAAGAATATATGAGATTGTTTCTTTAATTTCTTTCTCAGTGTGTAGGTTCTTGCTATTTAGGAAAGCTACTGACTTTTTATGTGTTAAGTTTTCTATCCTGCTACTCTATCGGGTGTGTTCACCAGCTGAAGGGGAACTCTAGTAGTGTCTTTGTAGTCTGTTATATATAATCTGCAAACAAGGATATTTGACTTCTTCCTTTTTTATGTGTATCATTTTATTCCCTTTTTTTGTCTTATTGGTTTGTGAAAATTTCAAGTGTCATATTGAATAAGGATGGAGAAAGCAGATGGCCCTGCATTTTTGTTTTTTTAGTGACAATGCTTCAAGTTTTTCTTCTATTCACATGATGTTGGCTATGGAGTTCCCATATATTAGCTTTATTATGCTGGGTTATGTCTGTTTATATTCTCCAGTTTTATGAGCATATGATATTAGATTTTGTCATGGGTCTTTTCTGCATTTAATGAGATGTTTGGGTGGTTTCTGTCTTTGAATCAAGTCATAAAGCAAATTACATGTATTGATATACGTATGTTTAACAATCATCTGCATTTGGCATGATGCTGAGTTACATTAAGGTGATGATTTCTTTGATAAGTTCTTGAATTTGGGTTGCAAATATTTTATTGAGAGAGAGAGGGAGACAGAGAGAGAGAGAAAGGAGTGAGAGAGATATCGTCTGAAAATCTTGTCTATAATTTTTTTTTTTTTTAGTTAAGAGATAAATTATAGAATGAAAAAAATCACTGCGAACTATATATTTGAAAGAGGCCTGGTATCTATAATATACAAATAACTAAATGATGAAAATTAAAAAATAACATAATTAAAATCAGAGTATAGAATTAAAGTTTTCAAAGAAAAAATACAAATACCTGAGAAATATATTTTAAATATTTAACATTGTGAGCCATTAGAGAAATGAAAACAAAAACTACTTTGAAATGTCTTCTTTACATATTCAAAATG